ACCCCATTTCCCCTAGTTTTGCTCCTTTTCCTGGAATGCCCCAAAAGCAGTGAGCACTCCCCATCCTGCTGATACTCACCTGCCATATGAAACTGGGGTTTCTGGGCCAAGGGATAGACCATCTCACGTATAACAGCAGAAATGATGGGGTGTGGGGAGCATGTACAACGAAGGATTGTAATTTAAAGACTGACCTGTACCACCTATTTTTACACTGAAGTACTCAGGAAAACACACAATGGATCATTTTCATTCTAAATGCCATGAAGAAACTATGGTAGCTGTTTGTTCAAGATGTACTTAAGGCTGCAATTCTATTATGCTGTCACATACAGTACACACGAAAACACCTCTATACTGGGGATGCTGCTGGCAGCACAAGGACGTAAGGTACTGAAAGGCAAAGATTTAAGACCAAATAAAATGATTTCTTCGTTTTTGACATTGTTTGCCTTGTCAGTTGTCTCAAAGAAGAAAGCTTTAAAAAACATTTCAGACTATAAGCACCATTCCTGAAGCTTTGCCAAAAGCTTTCTTGTGTCACTGCATGACACATCAAGAATTTTCAAATAAAATGTGCTCTGAAGGCTGCTTCTGTACCTACAGAACACAGCAACTCCCACTGTAATTGCTGGGTAGTGGCTCCGAGTGACAGGCTGCCATTCTAAAAACCATCAGCACATATTTTCCTATATAACCACAAAACAACAAGAAACGTGTGAAGAAGTCAATAAGCCGCAGGAGGAACGGTCTGGTACGTGCTCACAACACTGTTTTGAGCCCTCTGCACTTTTTGTTCTACAGACAAGCAGCAAGGGTTTGCTTCTGCAGGTGAAATAAACCTTGCACTTCACAGTAAGCCAGCCAAAGTGCTGGAGAGTGCCACTGAAGTTCCAACATTCCTTCTCCCTTGAAGGACAGGCAGCTGCCTGCCTCTGCTCTCCTGCAGGTCGCTAGCTGGCTCCTTGCAGCAGTTTGCTCTGTGGATTAACAAGCAGACGCGACTGAGGTTAAGACAGGCAGCACTATTTCTACCTAGGAAATCCCGTCATCTTCACAGAAGGACTTTAACAATAGCAAATGGCAATAAAGTTGAAGCAGCTTCTCAAGTCTGCTGCTGATTCTGCACTTTGGAAATTTTATTTCAGTTCCATTTCAGAAATTTAACACCGTTACCAAGAAAAGCACCAAAACCAAAAACCATCCACTCATCTGGCATAAACCTACACACAACACCAAAGAAAGCACCTTGGTTCTGCAGCTTTAATACTGTGCTGGCATTAACAAATTAACTACAGTACATGGTGACTGAAAGTTATTTTTATGAAATGCTTTAAAAATCCAAGTAGAGATAATGTATGTGTACATTTCACAGCATGCACAGACTCTGAACTCTTATTTAATACAAAGGAAACAACAGCTGGCCCTTACTAAAGGCATGCAAGGCACCTCATTATTTAAGCTTAACTTTTTATATGTGCGATCAGTAATCTGGGCCAAGTTTTATTTCATGCTTTCATGCTTTATTCCTGAGCGAGATGTCCAAAGAACATTCTAAACGCTGCAAACAATCATCTAAAACCCTGACAGACCCAATGCAAGTCTGTTCTGCTCTTCCCAGCAGCGCACAGACAGTATAGCCCCTTTGGCTGAGTACCTGCCAGACCTCGCTGCTTCGGCAAGATTGTCTTAAGGGCAGACTTCATAGCCTATTAGCCCTCCTCGGCCTAGGCTTTGCTAATTGCCATAGCTATGCTAATTGCCTAGGCTCAACATCTAGTCAATGGAGAAAGACAGGAAACTTTGATAGGGCATCTACCCCAATACAACATGAACAATAGAAATGTGATGAGTTGCCCACAGTGACTAGTGCTCTGGTGACTGTAGGGGAAATCAAGACACTCAGCACAGAACAGGCAAACAACCTTGGGAGAGCTGAAGTCAGGCAAGCTTAATTTTCCTAAGTGATGAAAAAAAAAAAAAATCAATATGAAAAATCCTGACCAGTAAGAGCTAAATAGGTAATGATTATTAATTACTTCCTCACAACACAAGAATTGGGACAGGCAACAAGCTTAAACACCAAGGGAGATATTTTCCTACGCTATTCTACAGTGAAATTCACTGCCATAACACATTATTGAAGCAAAAGTATAAATAGGTTCAAGAAAACTAGATTGCATCGAGGAAAAAAGACCTAAAGGTTACTGAAAACAAAATACATGGCCACAAAATGCCAGATACTGGAAGGAAAAAAACAAACAAAAAACCCAACAAAAATACCCCACCACTGTGTACCTTCTGACACTCCCCCCCCAATCCAGTTGCTAGTGCCAGCAATCCGTAATGTCCCTGTGCAGCTGATCTCGTGTTTAATGATGCAGTCTCCTAATACTTACTTGCAACACTAGGTGGCAGGGAAAACATCTCGTTCAGCTACAGCATTGAGAACCTTGAGTATAGAGTCTCACTTGGTCATAGCTAAGGATTAGTACAATGCAGCAGTCTCGATTTCACACAACTGGATTTGCTTTGTGTTAGTGGTGCTGGCATACAAGGTAATTCCTTCTCTGAGATACCCTGCCCTCTCATTTGAGGGCCCGTGGATGATGGCTCCAGAAACAGCTCAAACACAAAAGAGTTGAAATCCTCATGGTCTCCACCTCTAAAGACACAGCACCATAACAATTTATCTCATACCTCTGTTTTTCTAGAAAAGTCACTTTATTATTTAAAATTCACATAATTTCTGTGCTACTTATGAAAATACTGCAAAGAGTCAACAATGAAAGTTCTGCAACTCGGGCAGTAGCAAAGCAGGCAGGCCAATGCAAATTCTTCTTCAGGCCATACTGATCCTCCCTTCTGCAGACAGGAGAAACTTCATTCAGACTTGTAACATTCTGCTCAAGATCTCCCTCAAAACTTGAGGGGAGAAAGATATGATCTTTCTTTGTGTTCTGAGTTTCAAACAAGTCTGTGTGTCTATGTAAAGGACACCACCTCTGCACTGCAGCATAACTGGCTCTTTTCCAAATTACAGACATTTCCTAGAATGCTACTGACAGTAAAAGACAGTCTGACACTTAACTCCTCTACTTTGTTCACATAGCTTAAAGAAAAGTGCAGACAATTATTTGCATGATTGTTAACACTCTCTCTTTAGAAGAGCAAAATCAGCACAGTATAGTCATTCTTCTCATCCAGCTTCGTATCAGTTTCAGTTTCTCAGCTGTATAAAGAGATGCTGATGCCTTCTAACACATCCTTAAAAAATCTGCAGGAAAAAGCAAGGTCAGGACACTGCTTTTCAAGCAGTGGCACACAAGAAGGAAGGTCAAGTAAATAAGCCACAGACTAGAAGTTATACATAAAGGAGTCGCTGAAAGTGATCTTAACACACACACACACAAATTGCAGAGAGGCACTGAACTGGATTTTGATTTTCACAATGTTTGATAACGGGAAAGTTTGTTTCATTTCTGAAAAATAAATTAATACAAAATTTTAAAAAACCACTGATGTGCAAGTCTTTGCTGCATAAAAGGAGGTACATTTTCATACTTTAAAATAGTTTAAAACATTTGTACATAATGAACAGAAATTCTTTTATATAAACAAAGAGTGTTTCTTAGCCAACAGCAGCTGTCAACCCCAAACACAGAATTAAGAAGACAAGAGAACCAGGCAGTCTAAATCACTGCCATTTCTGTCAAAAAAATTATGCCACCCTTTTCTACAGCTCATCATGTTTGTACGTGAACTCTCTTGCAGATATAAACCCATCACTGTCTTCATCTTCTTTATCAAATATGTCTTCAACCAAAGCATCGTGTTGGGTGTCATTTACCACTGCTCCATGCTTTTCAAATTCTTTCTTCAAGTACATTTTCACCTATTAGACAAAAGTGAGAGTTAATGTCTTTAGGCTGATGAAAGAATTGCTTACTGTAGCATAAGAGAGAGCCACTATGTTCAAGATGGTAGTCTTCGACAACAGATACCTTCCTTCCTAGGCCACTGCTGGAATAATCCTTGTCTGACTGATTCTGCAGCTCTGTTCAGTGACAAAAGACTCTTTAGTAAGGTAAGAGACAGTAAAACTAGCAAATGAGATGCCATACATTTATGGTACCTGACTGAAAAATGAGCCAGGAAAACCTGCCATCTGATGTCTCTACAGTAAGGTAAAAACAGCCAGGCAGAAGTTATTGGCTACCAACTGGTCAGAGACCCAAACAGCTTTTTCACATCCCAGCACTTTGACAAGCCAGTAGCTGTAAACAGCTGCCCCAAATGTATATACAGAAACCTGTCCACAATCTCAGCATTTGCTGAACTACAGTAATATTTATTTCTAGACATCTCAAAATTTTGAAGGACAAAGATTCCAAATAGCTTTTAAACAGATTACTGGTACAGTTATTTACACTAAGCTAGTTACTAATGGTGAGCAGCGTTTTGAACAACATCAGATTATTTTTACTGGGTTTAAGGTTTAACTATTGAGATGCCAAGTGCTCTAAATTGCAGAGCCTTCTACAAGAATATCAGTACCAACACACCCACCTGTTAAACAGATACCACTTGTACAACGAGAGCTGTAACAGTGAACTGTTAACAGCAAGATCAATGGGCCGTGTTTCAGGTCTGTTTTATATTCATTTCACATTCTAGTATTTTTTAGGGTCATTGCTTACATCTTTAATACACAGACACTGGAGACACTGACACTGTCTCTCTGATGCACAGTACAAAAGATCAGTCTTTTGGGTCTAGCAAACTGTACCAGCCCCAAATCAGAAAGAACACAGTGGTTTATCCTAACTTCTTGTGGATGTTTTTTGCACATCAGAAAAGCAGAAGACTGAAAATAAGAGGCAGTCAGAAGGTGAATAATGCTGAACACGTCCTTCAGATAGTGAATGCTATGAAACAGGTCTGCCCTACAGCAGAAGAATTTCTAATTCCAATTTATTAGTAAATCAGCAACTAACTCCAAAAAGCCCTGAAGTCTGGTTTTATTTCTAAAATGTTTTACTTTATCCAAGTCTATCATAAGTATGGGGCACATATTGGTCACATGCCAATGCCTCAGCTTACTGAGGCTGCTTTTGAACCTGCAGTTCCACTGGGATCCAAGCTCCACGTGGTGCAGGGTAGATGTGCATCCTTGGCTTAGTTTTACTTAAAAAACTAAACCAAAACCAAACAAAACCTGCTTTACACATTAACAATAGATTTTATGTGAGCTGAAGCCACACAGGAGAGGCAAAGCACAGACAGGAGCTTAATTGTTGAGCCAGGAATAGTAGTAGTTCAGGAGCATTCCGCAGGAAAGATACCAAAACAAAAAGGCATAAAACTCCAAAGGCAAAAAGAGCAGTTGGAAGGCAGCAACACTGAAAGTCATGTCCAGGGAAGAACAGAGACTCACCCTTCCCCACATGACTAATGACCACCTGGCCAGCAGTAACTTTTTGATTCATGATGAGCTCATCAGTTCACAGGTTGTGCTAACAACTCATCAGTCCTAGTTACCCACACTGTGCATTGCCTTAAGCACTTAAGTAGTGTGTGTTCTTCTTGCAGACTTGCTCTGTGCACAGTAGTAGCTACAACCTAACTTGTGTTTAGATACTGCCCTAACAGGACCAAGTTAAGCTTTTCTTTCCCATTCCACTATCTCATCCTGTTAGGTTTGCTCACAAGAAAGGTAACACGCTCACCTCTTGCTTGGACAGTTTCCAATCATCATTAAGATCCATCTCCTGGAACGACTCATGAGACCTTGGTCCATTCCTAATTTCTAGAAGGTCAATGTTGAAAATCAGTGTGCTCTCAGGGGGAATTTTTCCTGTTCAAAGTGGTAAACATGAGAAAAGTTAAAGACAACTACGTATTCAGTGCCATACAAAAGCCATACGTGTCAGAGCAATCCAGTAACCCTACTACTTTCAAAGCATCCTGCAATTTGAACCAACAAGGGTAAGCGTAATTATTTCAGAGTGCAGCCTGGACAACACATATGCAACTTTAGATGCAACCAGACATGTGCTGGCATAATTCCATTTTTGATGCAGGTGAACAGACTGATAAACAGCACCAAAGACCATCCCCCTTCCCTGCCCCCAGATTTTGGTTTATCAGGCTTTTTGGCTTTTGCAGTGGTGTGATAAGCCTTCACGCCGATGGCTGCAGCTGCTGTCAAAGAGCTTTTAGCACACTGCTTTTCTCCTTATATATACAGAAAGGTTGAGTAGGACCCAATATATTTGTGTATTGGATGGTAGCATCCCCAAAAAAATATTCTTGTATCTTAAGAAGATAGGGGAAAAAAACTAATCCACACCTGCTATTTTGGAGCTATAGTGTTAAACACACCCTGAGCTGCAGCAACAAATGGGCTTGTAGATTTCTAGGATGAATAAATGTGTAGAAAGTTCTGGAAATACAGGGCACAGTGGCCTGCTCAGAGTTTGGAACACAGGTAATTTTTCTGAGTGTTACAGAAAAAGGCATCTGACTCATCACTCAAGTCAGACAGCAAGCAAGGCACCAGGTGGGAGACTAGTGAAATTATGTGCATTCAGAGGAAAGCATGAAGAATTTGGAATAATTCTGTCTTCAAGGGCATAATTTGAAAATAGCAACATAATTATGTTCAAATACTTCAAAGTTTTCCTAAAGCACTTAATTTCTTACAGCAGCTAGCAGTGCTTCCTTGTTCAACATTGCACTAAAGGCAGATGTGAGGCTTGCAAGTCTTTGAAGAACAATTGTAGTGATTTACATATTAATCGAGGCAATTAGGCCTGTGATGACTGCGTTGAGTATTAAAGCATTTAATTATCTTTTTTTGTGGAAAAACTTACAGTTGTGGTGGTCAGTTAGTCGACTGTATGCAGGGCACAAATGTCCTGTTCTCTACTAGAAACATGATTACTTCTAATACTATCTCTTGAACCCCATGGCTTCTAGAAAAAGACGTTTTAAAGGGATAACTGTCAAGAAAGGAGGGTATGGAGTACTACTTGGCCTATGTTCAGCCCTACTTGCCAGAAGATACAGACATGCAAACACTCCTCATTCCTAAAACAGTCTCAGATTAATGGGAGAGGACAGTTGCAGGAAGGGTTATATGTTCCAAGACACTTTTCTGCTTTGAAACTTTGCATTACCTTAAGTCATTTGTGATAACTGTTGCCATGACAAAATACTCTAAAATAATTGCTCAAAAAAAGTTAACTAAAACAAGCCTCATAAAGCAGAAAAAGGAACTTTCCTGCAGCTTTCAAACTGTCACTCATTTAACTGCAAATTACAGATCTGGCCCTCCCATTAAAACAGGAATCTGGAAATGTTTGAAAGAAAACACCCAAACACCATCAGTAATAGACAGGTTGGGAAAACACTACAAACAATGCTTTTATCTGTCTGTACATCATTCAGTACATCTTCAGGAGATGTCAGCATGACTGCCCATGTACCTGCATTATCTTATTGTGGGTAACAGGGACCACTGCCAAAACTGAAAATAGCTAAAAGAGGAAAATAATTGTGTCCCGATATGGAGAAATGAACGGTGACTTTTCACTGTACCAGCTAAGAAGTGGTTGGGCAGTAGTACAGGGAGTTTCTCTGGTTTCTAAAAGAAACCTGCAAACAAGAACAAGGCCTGCACATGCACCTTCATGAAGTACTACCACAAACACAGATGCAACAGCCAAAAAGCCAACTGTCACCTAGGCAACCACTTCCAGCTTGACTGTAAAAAGAAAAAACAAAGAAAAAAGAAAAAAAACCCAACAGAGCACTGTAGAGCACAGCACTAACAGAAAAGACGGAGCATACAGCACAGCAGCTACCATCAATTCCTATTCTTTTCCTTATGGTTATTTGTGCATGAAACAAATTTGTGAGAAACAGCACCTGACTCCATCAATTTTTCTCATTTCACGGAATCAGCCTGGAAAGCTTGGTAACTTCTTAGGCCAAGAAGAACAGTAAAATATAGAGATTAAAAACAATGAAAGTGAGGGAAGGACTTCAGGTGTTTTACCTTTCCCTTCTTTTCCATAAGCAAGGGCTGGTGGAATAGTTAGCTTTCGCTTCTCTCCCACACACATGTCCTTCAAACCTTTGTCCCAGCCTTTGATAGCTTCCCTTATGCCAAGGGTAAACCACATAGGTTGACCATTGTTATGCTTGTGACTGGAAAAGAACAGAATAAAACACTTAGTCTTTAGACAGCAAGTTCCATAAAAGACACATGGAGCAGATGGAAGATGCTCACAACACACGTGTAACTAAAAAACCCAAACCATACCACAGCACCTTGGCATTTCTAAAATGAAAAACCTAGACTTTTGAAGTCTTTAAAACTTACACCTTGCATGATAATGGGTCCTTAAGAAGTGGAAAGAAATAAAACAACATCTACACGTGTGTTTCTCACAACACTGAGCAACCTGGATCCCCACTTTCACTTCCCTGATCACCTATTTCTACTTTGAAACTGACTGGACTAGATAAGCATTTCTACTAGAAAATCTACATTCAAGGCCATGCATATTCTTTGGTAAACTGCAAATCAAAAACCAGTTTGGTCATGATTACAATATACTTTATAACCTGCTTAGGAGAATCAGCCACTTCTCTTCCAAAAAAGCCATTAGGAAAAAAAAAAAACACCAACAAAAACCAACTATACAACAGATAGTCTAGAAAAACAAGAAACAAATGCATGCAAAGTGTGCAAGTTTAAAACCTGCAGACAAGCCCCTTTTCCAATTCAGTCAGGTGGCACACCAAGACTACTTTCACTCTACTGACACAGAAACTGAAAAGCTCGATTTACTAGTCATGCAGGAAAGGTGCTTAACAAGAAAACAGAGCACTTACAGAAGTTAGTCAGCAGCAAAAACTTAAAAGAGTGTCACTAGAACTCCTTTTAGAGAGGCAGGTTAACTACAAGAGAAAATTAGTGAGAGTTTAGTTTAAATCGTCTGCAGGAGCATAAACATGCAAAACATTGTTTTTATTTAAAAAAACCCCAACAAAACAAAACAACCATGTTCCACAAAAGCAGACTTCAGCATAGCCCCCAGATACTTGAGCATTTTGTTGTCTCCCACTACTAACACTTCGTTGATGTTTTACAGGAAAGGCGACATTAGCAAGTCGTTGCAGGCTCTTAGCAGACTCCCTCGAATTTCTGGCTCTTCCTCCTACTTGCATTACTGTGGCTCTGGTATGTTGATTTGTCTGGTCAGGGGCAGGTGAAGAATATGCTGTTTCAGTCATGAAAAGTGTCATTGTGCTGCCTTTTCTGGAAGGCATATATAACTTGGAAGCACATATATAACTTTTTAATAAAATAAAAAAAAAAATAGAGGCAGACTTCTCCCCTAGAAGTTTGCCTTAGAAACCAGACAGAAATTAGTGCACAGCAGAAGTCTTATTAAGCCGCTGAGATTATATACCAAAACCTGTGTCTAAATTGCAGAAGAGGGGGCCAAACATCCCAATTTTTTTAAGAAATGCCACAGGGCTGTACTTCCTGCCGACTGACCAGAAAACAAAAGCTACAGAAGGTTTATTCCACAGCCTCGATCCGGCACAAGGAAAGCGGGTCAGCCGTACTGCTGGCGTCAAAGAGCACAGCGAGTCCGCGCCTCCCGAACCGCCCCAGTGCAGGGGCAAACCCGACCTCCTGAGAACGGTGGTGGTGGAAAGGGCCCCGCTGGCAAGTGTGTGCAGCGTGACTTGAGCTATTTTAACTCACTTAACGAGTGAAATCTAGGGCGTGCGGGCTATGAACGGCACCCATTGCTTTTGCACACGGGTGAGCACAAGTTCTGGGCGCTGTGGGC